CGTGCTTACCGTGTTGTGTGATATGTGTTTCAGGTACTTCTCAGGATCGCGGGAAGGCGTCGGCTTGATTGTACACACCTATTCAAGATTATGATTGAGGATTCAGGGATATTATTAGTTATTTATTGAGTTGTGTTTTGACAATTGATACATTGTGGGTTTTGAGAAAATGTGATATTGAGTTTTATGTGATTTAAAAATGATTTTTTTTTCGAAAAATTACAGTTTTACAACTTCTTATGATGAAGAGGTGGACTAAATGTTTGCAGTCTGCAAGAAGAAAACTGTTTGTTTTTTAACGTCTGCAGGTTGATAAAATAAACTGAAATTTAAATAAATTGATTTGAAAAATATTAATGTACAATCTATAATGTTTTTTTTTGGAAATTATATACATAAATAACATCAAATTGCCAATTTTAATCTAATCAAATTATCATTTAATGAGATAAAAAACTTTACATCAAACTGCCAATGTAATCTGATCAAAATTCCATACATACACACATATAATAATAATAATAATAATAATAATAATAATAATAATAATAATAAGAACAACAACAACAACAACAACAACAACAACAACAATAATAATAATAATAATAATAATAATAATAATAATAATAACAACAACAACAACAACAACAACAACGTTAAGCAGCATCAATTTTCACCCATCCAAATTTGTGTCAATAAGAATTGTATCACCAACTCATGTGATAACATACATATTGCATTGTTAGTGTGTTATCAACAATAAATCAATGAAAGTAGGATGTTATGAAAATAAATCCATGAAAGTAGAATGTTATAATGAAAATATGTAAATGACAAACACTAAAATATCAAAATTTATATGTAGAACATGTTTTCTTGCTAGTGAATAATATCCCCTTTGTCCCAAAGCCATATACAAATCTAATGAATTGAGTACCATGAACCGAATCAATTGATAGCATAATGTTTTGACTTTTTGTAAGAAATCCCCCTAAAAATGTAAACATAGAACATGAGATACAAACCAACAAATGATATAAAAAAAGTAATATACTTAATTAATGATATTGCCGATTGATCATCTACATATTTTGAACCCAAAAATAACCTAAACAATGAAATAAATAATCTATGGTTCTATAAACACACAAGCATTGATTAATTATTCAAACATTTGAAGATGATGGTAACATCTTTTCTGTTTGTGAAATTATACTTTATTCATCATGACAAATTGAGAGCATCTCTAACAACCTAGATATTGATCAGTTTTATGTAGTTCATACCATTATAATACATATTTTCATAGTTGAAGAATACAATTGAACCCGATCAAAAACAAAAACGAACTCCATATGAAGGAATCGAAATTTGTGGTTCGTCGATCTCATCCTAATCGAAGGAATCGAACACACCTGGCCAGGGAAGTGTAACACCCCGAATTTCAGGTATTTTCAAATTCATCCATTGGTTTTACATTATAAGTCAATTTGATCCCTAAGTCCAAGAATTATGCCTTGAAGCCCTTATGGCGTTTTTGTAATATGAGCTGGAGGAGTACACTAAGCGTACATGTGTGTACGCTGATCGTACTAGGGCGCGTCCTAGTACGCTGGGCGTACACTCACGTACACTGGACGTACTCACATCAGGAGGAAACTCTAAATTTTAGGGTTTGAAGGGTATTTAAGCATCATATTAGCTCATTTCCTTTCCACCTTTCAGCCTCCACTCCTGTAGGACGTTTTTGCAAACCCTAATCTTTGAGTGTGCATTTTGAAGCTCAAGTGTGCGCTTTTTGGTGTGTTATTGGTGTGTAAGAAGAAGAAGAAGAAGATTCTTGGAGAAGCCTTGGTGAGGGAGCAACTTGTGGATATGGGATTCTTACCTTCTTGAGAAGCTCTAGAATGTATAAAGCTTCAATCTTGCCTTGTTTTATTTTAGATCTTGCCTTGAGGAAATTATGTGTTCTTAGTCCCTTTTCTTGTGTTTATGAGTATGTGCTACTATAAGACCAAAGGATCCATCCTTTTTGAAGAAATAAGGTGCAATAAGTCATAAAAATGCTATCTTGTCCCTTTTGGTGCATGTATGAGGTCTTTAGTGGTTAAGACAAGCTAGAGCCTTGGTGTTGGGACTTATTAAGACATGCATAACCATAAAGTTGGAAACTTGATGGTTTGGAACACCTCTTTGGACCTGGATCGGAAAGTTAGATGTTGGACTGAATGAGATAAGCTCTTAATCGAAGTATTGCATTGCTACCACGTACGTCGTGTATAGGTGGTCAATGACACGATTTTGGGTCAATGTAGAGTACGTTGAGCGTACAGCTGGGTACTCCCCGCGTACTCAGCCTGATGGATTTTTGAGTTTAGGCATCAAGTTGTGGGCCACCTTTTAGGCTTGGATGCTTGGGCCCTTATTGGTCCATCTGATAATGAGTGTTTTGGGCTAGGTGATGTGTTGGACCTTGGAGCAAGGCCCAATTATGGGCCTTGAGTTATTATTTATTTTGGGCCTTTTGGATCAAGATTTGGGTCTGGGTCTTAGCCCATCTAGGGAAAGGGTAAAGTGGCCATTTACCCTAAGTATGAATTATTAGCCAAGGATTTTAATCCAGTTATTAATTGGATGATTATTTTGTTATGTTAGTGCGGGGATTTTAGTGAGCTAGCAACCGAAGGCTTTTAGTGTGATTCAACAGTGTGAGGTGAGTTTTCCTCACTATACTTTCGGGTCGAAGACACCAAGGCTGACCTATTGGTTTGATAACCTAATATTGTTGATATGTTGAGTATGGAATATATATGCATGCTACTTTTGATACGCTAGTCTAGTAGATCTGTAGGACTACCTGTGATATTGTCTGTTTATATGTATATGATATTATCTGTTATATGTCGACATATTGTGTGGGTTGGGTTGAGGGTGTACTGCTCCGTGCAGTGGCCAACAAACCCTGGAACAAACCAGATATAAACTAAGGGTCGGGGGTGGCATGCTATACTCATACTATGGGATCATGAGCATTCCAGATACGAGCTGAGGGTCGAGAAGGGCATGTCAGACTCGTACTGAAGGCTTAATGGTATTCAATCTGATGACTAATTAGGCCGGGGAGCAAGCCAGATATATGTTGTGGGCCAAGGGCAAACCAGACTTATGTTGTGGGCTCAGGGGTAATCCAACATGTTAGTTGTGGATCCATTGCATGTTGTTATTATATTATGCTATTCGTTGTGTATTGGTATTTTGGGGGAACTTATTAAGCTTTGGCCTTATAGTTATGGGTTATGTTTCAGGCGCCTCATATGACCGTGGGAAGGCAAAGGCTTGATCGTGCACCTCCTCATGTTTTGTTTTGTGATTTTGGGAAAAGTCTTATGTTAAACATATTTTGAAAACTACAATGTAAACGATTATGATTTTTGGTTGGTTTGAAAAAGTTTAAATTTCTAGGAAATTTTATAGATGTTACAGGAAGTGGCTGAAAGAAGAATGTAGCGGAGGAAAGAGACCTTGGGGCTAAATCCCGCGTCGAAATCGGACAGGATGAGGAAGACATCGACGATTTTGGTCAGGAGGTTCGTTCAGGCAACACATTTGCTTTGGAGGCGCTGATTTTGAAAGGAGCGTTTTTTTTTAAAGGTTTAGAAGACTTGTAAATACATTGGTCCATGTCTGTGCAACGAAGACCTCGCACAAACGTTTTTAGGTATACGCACTTCTGAAAAACAAACAGTCTGCGAGAGTATATTTCGTCGCGTGGCTTGTGCGGCGCAAACAGAAATGGTCATGCATATCTGCAAACAAAAAACAAACATCACCTTAATCTCTAACACAATTACGCAATGCAATGATCTCTAATTGAGCCTCATCATCAAGAAATAAGGTCAATAAAATGGAGATATGCTTAGGCTTTCATTTTTGTGAGAATTTGATCTTGTAGATGTTAAAGAACATTTTTTTGGAGCAATAAATATTCGTCCATGAAGTTTCTTTTGAAAAATAACTGGGAGCAGGGGTGTTCACAGGGTAATTTATTAGATATTAATAAAATTCTAAACTGCGAACGCGGAACAAACACCTCACTTGTACTATTTGAAACCGAGCCGAACCAACCAAATACTAGAGTAATAATAAGGTGAAAAACTGTTCATTTCACATGTATATGCTAAATGCAAACAATTCAAAATCATTCAAAATTACAAAATAATTACATATAATTGGAGGCTTCTAGCAATGAAAAGAAAAAGAGTCAACAACAACCTCCAATTATAGAACAACTCACTCAAGTGAAAAATGATCAAACATAAAATAATAAGCATCAATTATGTAACCCAAAAGCATGAAACTTTAAGAAGTTACCATCATTGAATTATATAAGCCCAAGTTCATATACACACAGTATTGCTAAGGGAATACAAAAGTGTGCGTTTGGTATACAAGAGACTCCTACTTATGCTATTAATTATAATTCATTTTGTAATACAAGTAGGTCTCTATTTTTCTATATGGTTTGTTTTATATCAACAACCAATTATTTTTGCTACACTTTGGAGAATAAACATGCATGATATTTGTCTTTTTGAACATCATTTTGATATATTGAATACGAACTTGCATTCCGGTAGAAACAAATATGAGATTTGGATAAATTTGAGGTGTTTTAGATATGATGTTGGCCTTTGCCAATTCAAAATTATGGGTGAAGCCGATGAAAGTAATAGCCCATATTGAAATCGAACTTTCCAACAAAGTTTAAGCCCAAGCCCAAGCCCAAGCCCAGATCTCACACGTGCCAAGACATGAGAACAATTCTCACGAGTTAACTTCAATCCGCCCTCCTCCGCTTTCGCCTCTCGGTTCTCAAACCCCCAAATCCGCCCCACAACATTTTCCCCAGTTTTGCTTCTGCAGCTTCCTTCTAGGCCTCTAGAGAGAGAGATAAAGAACACCATTTTCCCCGATTCTTCATAAGTTATTGATCAATCGTCATGTATCGCGCTGCTGCCTCGAAAATCAGAATCGTCAAGGTCAGTAATATCCTATCAATCTGTAGATTCGAAGGAAAAAAACCAATATTTGAAGCGATCATGTGACATATGGATTTAAATCATGCGTTTTTCTATCGTTCAATCATGCTAGAGATATATTAGGTTTCGTCGATCTGAACATAATCTCTTTGTATTCTTCCCGTAGTTTGACTATTTTTTGTGTCTGTATTTAAATCTAGTATGGAAAAAATCTAAAAGTGAAAATACTCGTTTTTTTCATTTATTAGTGCAAAAAGTTGTTGTATGATGAATAACAGAGAGGAAATTGTATGAATTTTTTTTATTAAGCTAAATGTATGAACCGAATTGCCCATATGTATATGAAGAATCACAAGGAAATTGCCATTAGAGGTGAACCAAATACCGAGATTCCTGAAATCCGAGTTTTTCTTTTTCTCCTCTTAATAGGGCCATGGGGGAAACAGGACCCTGACCAGGTTTGCAAGTTCAAGTGCAGTTGCAACCAAATCATCTTCAGGGGGTATCTTTAGTTGGTTTACAGGAGGAAGTTCTTCCAGCCTCCCTCCTCTAGACTTTCCACTTAAGGGCATTGAACTCCCATCCTCTTTACCTGATCATGTTGAAACCGGAAAGACCAAAATCACAACCCTCTCAAATGGAGTCAGAATTGCCTCTGAAACTTCAGCAGTAAGCAATTGTTTTCCCTATTTCTATTTCACCAAATCATTTTAAATTTATTATCTCATGTTGTTGCCTGATTATTGGAACAGAATCCTGCAGCTTCCATTGGGTTGTATGTGAACTCTGGCTCAATGTATGAAACACCAATTTCATTTGGAGCCACACATCTTCTAGAACGTATGGCTTTCAAAAGCACAGCTAACAGAAGCCACTTGAGAGTTGTGAGAGAAGTGGAAGCCATTGGTGGCAATGTTACAGCTTCTGCTTCGAGGGAGCAAATGGGTTACACTTATGATGCTTTAAAGACTTATCTTCCTCAAATGGTGGAGTTACTTGTTGACTCTGCAAGGAATCAAGTTTTCTTGGATTGGGAAGTCAAAGAGCAGGTGTTTGTTTGCCTATTTTCCTTTCTTTCTACTTCCTTTCTTGGGTTTTCTTTTCGATAAAGTTTATATCATATTGTTTTTCAGATCCAGAAAGTGAAAGCTGAGATCAGTGAATATGCTAACAATCCAGAAACCTTGCTGTTAGAGGCAATTCATTCTGCTGGATATTCTGGTGCTTTAGCCAATCCTCTTCTTGCATCCGAAGGCTCATTAAACAGATTAAACAGTTCCATTTTGGAAGAATTTGTAGCTGTAAGTCATACACATAGATTTAGTGACTATTTCTTTTTTCATTTTTTTAGCTTAATGGGATTCTTTGTATTCTATATTATTTGCCTTTTATATTGTTTGAATATTTCAGGCAAACTACACTGCTCCTAGGATTGTACTTGCTGCATCAGGTGTTGAACATGAGGAATTGTTGAAATATGCAGAGCCTCTTCTGTCTGATTTGCCAGGTGGCGCACTCGTTGAGGAGCCAAAGTCGGTTTATGTTGGAGGTGATCATCGTGTTATGGCTGATACAGGGGTGTGTTTTTATGTTCTGTAAACTCTCCCTCACAATATATTTACTCTTTCTTCATTTGTTTTTGTCTTGTTGTATTTACCAAATTGCCCTTGGTTATCAGAGAACTAGTTTTGCTCTTGCTTTTGAACTTCCTGGTGGCTGGCTTAATGTCAAGGATGCCATGACCTTAACAGTTCTTCAGGTATTTTGTTTCAACTTCCAGTAAATACATATTTATTTTAATTTAATAATTTATGATCACCTTTTTATGTTATTTATTTATTCATTGTCAGATGCTAATGGGAGGAGGTGGATCTTTTTCAGCTGGGGGTCCTGGAAAAGGGATGTACTCACGACTTTGTAAGTTATTCTATTCGTGATATATTTGATTATTACAATAAATAAAAAAAGTAACCTGATATTCATTCATTCATTCATTTTTTTTTTTTTTTGAAATTATTGTTGTGCAGATCTTCGTGTGTTGAATGAGTACCCAGATATTCATTCATTTTCAGCATTCAACTCTATCTACAACAACACTGCCATTTTTGGAATCCAAGCTACCACTGTAAGATCATATTTCTTTCAGAGTATTTATTTTATGTTTTAATCACCTGATATATTTTTTTTTATCACACTTTGTTATAGAGCTCTGAGTTTGCATCAAAAGCCATTGATGTAGCAGCTAAAGAGCTTATTGCAGTTGCCACTAATGGAGAAGGTTTGCTTTTTGACATACCCTTTTGCTATCTAATCTTTTTTTTTTTTGCTAATTTTTTTTTTTTGTGTTTTTTTTCAGTGAACCATGTACAGCTGGATCGTGCTAAACAGTCAACCAAATCCGCCATTTTAATGAACTTGGAATCAAGAGTATGTAAAATGATAGATTACTAGAAAATTAAAATTATGATTTAACAGCTAAGATATGATTAATTGAGTTTAATTTGGTTAATATGATTTATGTGTGACAGATGGTTGCTTCAGAAGATATAGGCAGACAGATATTGACATATGGAGAGAGGTACACATAGCTTTTTCATAATTAATAATCATTAATTATTATGTTTGTTTACAAATTACGTTATCTTTCTGTTTTTTTTTTTTTTTTATAACAGGAAACCAGTGGAGTTTTTCTTGAAGGCTGTGGATGAAGTGTCGGCAAAAGACATTGCTTCCATTACACAAAGGCTTCTTTCTTCTCCACTCACAATGGCTTCTCATGGAGATGGTTAGTTAAAAATTAAAAAAAAAAAAAATTATTATTATTATTATTATGTAATTAATTTTTGAATGTTTTGTGGCAGTTATAAACGTACCGACGTATGACTCGGTTAGCAGCAAATTCCATTAATTGGGTGAAAGGGACAAAATCTAATCAGGTAGATTTGGTTTTGTTGCTTTTTGTTATTGTTATTTTTAGATACAAACGAAAAGGAAAATAATTTTCAAGGCTATTATGTAATGGCAATTGCAATCCATCATATTTTTGAGATCTTGTATTTCATTTCTTGTAAAAGTTTTGGAGTTGGGCCTTCAAACTTTGTAACTGTTGCTTTCTGAATATACGGTTTTTTGGATATTACAATTTTCAACTTACATTTTTTAAGGACTCGAGCGTCTCCAGTTACAAAATTTGTCTTCAGAAGAAAAATGATTTGTTTTTTTACCCGAACAAACTATTATGTTCAGAATATAAATTAGTTTTTTATTTAAAAGAAAATATAACCCTAGTTTTAAATTTCTTGTTGTATGAATATAGACATGATATGTTTTTAGATAGCAACTTAAGAGTTTGTTTGGTATGAATAGACGAATACGAATGAATGGAACGAAATTAATTGACAACCGATGAAAATACCTACAACAGACAGACACAAAGTACATGTGACACGTTCTTTGCATGCAAGTGAAAGTCAAATATTAACAACAAATGTCATTACATGGAAAACCTATCTCAGCAACAAATATCAATTAACATACAAATGAAAGTCAAATATCAACAAATATAATGGACACTATTTGAAGTTGGGACTACAAATTGATTAATTGATATTACAGATAAGCAAAACCGTGCCTACCAATTGTGAAACCTAATATTCCAAAAATTCTAAAGGATAGCTACAAAATGCAAAAGAATTATTAATCGATTACAGAAAAATATGACTATGGATCAGAACAAAAGGTCAACATATACTTCATTTCTTATATATTTTTAGGCCTTAGCACACATATAAATGAAGACTATTTCTCTTTTTTAATTAAAAAGGGAACTCAACATCAATGGACAAAGAGTACTTGCAGGGTTATTTATTTTTTGTAAAATGCATCAACCAAGCGGTTTTTATTTTCTTTTTAAAATTAAAATTTAAGAAGGGCAATGTAACGTAAAAAAGATGTGTTCTGTTAGATTGGTTGGAAATTGTTTTACCATGTTTTTGGTCTGTCACACCAACGTCAATATGTCATTTCATTTTTCCTCATCGTTCTTCCACCCCACAAAAGTGATGGGAAATGGTTTTACCACACCATCTCTCACTCCTTTGCTTCTCTCATTTTTTTAAAAATTCATATTTCATTGAGGCTTATTACATAAAGAGTCTATGAGTATTGTGGACAACATGCTGCAACATGTTTCTAAGAACACTTAACTAAAATAAAAGTTTCGTATCATACCAGTGTCATGTGGATCTTCTCGCTAGGCATGTGAAAATACAACCTGTTACAATGAATTCTCCAATCTTAAAAAAAAGAGGAAAATATATTTTCGTAATTTTTGATTTTTGAAAAATTAAAATTCAATGAAATCAAAAATGTTTTTGGATTTTTGTATTTTATAAAGAAAAAATGAAAATAAAAAAAAATGTTTTTGGATTTTTGACTCTTATAAATAAAAGACAAAAATATATTTTTTTTTGAAATTTTGACTTTTATAAAGAAAAGACGAAAATAAGAAAATCTTTTTAGATTTTTGAATTTTATAAAGAAAAGACGGAAATAAGAAAAATGTATCACCAACATTGGTTATTTGTTATTGATAACAAATATTTCGCATACTTTCCCATAACAAAGAGATTTTCTCTTAACGAGTGCTCACTAGAACTATGCACTTCCCTTGATAAAGTCTTTCCATTCGTTGGGGGTGAACTTGTGCGGAACGAAAATGAGAATTGATAATATATTTCAGATGCGAACCAATACTTTCCCATAACCATAGAGGTTTCCCATAAACGAGAGCTCACCAGAAGTATGCGCTTCCCATTGAGAAACTCTTTCCATTTGTTTGATGTGAAGAAACTCTTGTATTCAATTCTCTCTAAATCAAGTTGAGGGGGAGTTGTTGATTTCGTATGCATCTGTTGAGGGGGAGTTGTTGACTTTTCAAGCTGGTGTTGAGGGGGAGCACCAGACAACGAATCCATTGGTTAAGGGGGAGCTAAGTGGAACAAATCATGATGATAGTGATGCTCAAGGTAATGAATTTTATGATTTTAATGACAATATTTCTATTTCAGACGAATTGTCAGAAAGCAGAAGAGACATTTAAGAATGCGCATTTGGAGTTTGATCCTACATTTCCTTCTATGGAGAAATGGACAAAGGATCATCCCAAAGAGCAAATTCTTGGTGGTCCAAGTTCGGGTGTTATAACATGAGCACAGGTTCGAGCCAGGAATGAGGTTCCAAATGCTCATCAGAAATTCTAAATGTTTAATGTCTTTATTTCAAAAGTGGAACCAAAAACAATCAAGAATGCATTAGAACGTATGGGTTGTTGCGATGCACTCCGAGTTGGTTGAGTTCGAACGAAACAAAGTTTGGAGGCTAATTCCTAAACCTGATGATGTTTTGATTGCTAGTCTTTAAATGAATTTTTAAAAATAAAATGGACAAAAAATGTAATATTATACGAAACAAACCTAGATTAGTCATAAAAGGTTATTGTCAACAAGAGAGAATTGATTATGAAGAAAACTTTGCCCCTGTCGCAAGACTCTAGACTGTACGGTTTTTTTTAGCTTATACAGTTCATAAGAATTTCAACATCTACTAGATGGATGTAAAGTGCACATTTCTTAATGGTGTTCTTGAAGAGACGGTCTATATCAAACAACCACCTGGATTCGTAAATGATAAGTATCATGATCATTGCTCTATCCTTGACAAAGCAGTTTATGGGTTAAAATAAGCACCTCGTGCTTGGTATGCGACGCTTACCAATTTTTGAAAATCGCTAAATTTAAGCAAGGATCAGTTGATCCCACTTTATTTCTTATGAAAGTAGGGGATCACCTAATGTTTGTTCAAATTTATGTCGATGACATTATATTTAGTTCTACTGACCATTCGTTATCAAAGGAGTTTGAAGAACTTATGAAGAGTCAATTTAAAATGAGCATGATGGGGAAAATCAATCATTTCTTGAGTTTGCACATTCATTAGAGCAGGGAAGGATTTTTTCATTAATCAAGAAAATTATACACGAAACCTGCTTGAAAGATTTGGAATGACGAATTTCTCGAAAGCTAAAGTTCCCATGGTAGTCGCCACTCGCTTAGGCCCTTTGTTGGATAAGCTTGTTGTTGATCTCAAAACATATAGAAGCATGATCGGTTCGCTATTGTATTTAACTGCAAGTCGACCTGATATAATGTTTTCTGTGTGCAATTGTGCCAGGTATCAAGCTAATCCAAGAGAACCCCATCTTACAGTGGTGAAAAATATTTTTCGTTATCTTCATGACATAACGACTCTTGGATTGTGGTTACCGTCGAATACATGATTCTTTATTCAAACTTTATCAAATGCTGATCTAGAAGGTTGTCGATTATATCGAAAAATCACTACAGGAGGATGTCAATTCTTAGATGGGAAACTCATGAATTGGTAGTCGAAAAAGCAGACACGTGTATCGATTTCGAAAGTTGAGGCTAAATACATTGCTGGTACGCGTTGTACTTCTCAAGTGATCTGGATCCAAAGTCAACTATGTGACTATGCGATTAACATGAAGAAAATTACATTATATTACGATTCTCAAAGGGAAATTTGTATGTCATAATCCAGTTCAACATTCTAAAACTAAGCATATTGCACTTCGATACAACTTCATTAAAGATCATGTTGAAGATGAGAATATTGAAGTTCATTTCGCTAAAATAACTGATCAAATTGCTGATATTTTTGGAAAACCATTGGACGAAAAATCATTTTTAAGAATTTTAAATGGGTTGAGAATGATGGAAACTTGTTATGTTCTTAATTCTATCTAATTTTTCTTGAATTTAAGAAACGAAATTTATGGAATAACTTTCCCTAATTGGACTAATTTTCGTTACTTGTCAAACTTTTATTTAGAGGTTACTGTTCATATTAAGTGTTTGACTCACTTCGCATTCGACTTTATCTCTGATTCGTTCAACACAAGTTCATGCCTAGCGAATGGAAATAGTTTCTCAATGGCAAGCATATACTTCTGGTGAACGCTCGTTAATGGGAAATCTCTTGGGTTATGAGAAAGTTTTGGTTCACATGCGAAATATTTGTTATCAATAAAAAATAACCAATGTTGGTGATATCATTTTCTTATTTTTATTTTTTCTTTATAAAATTCAAAAATCCAAAATGTTTTTTTTTTTATTTTCGTCTTTTCTTTATAAAATTCAAAAATCCATAAAGATTTTTTTTTATTTTTTGTCTTTTCTTTATAAAAGTCAAAAATCCATAAAAAATTATCTTATTTTTGTCTTTTATTTATAAGAGTCAAAAATCCAAAACGATTTTCTTATTTTCGTTTTCTTTATAAAATACAAAAATCCAAAAAGAATTTTGTTTTCATTGAATTTTAATTTTTCAAAAATCAAAAAATACAAAATTTATTTTCCTTATTTTCTTTTAAGATTGGTGAAATTAATTGTATCAACGTGTTGCACTTTCACATGCCTAACAAGAAGATCCACATGATATTGATATGATACAAAATTTTTGTATTAGTTAAGTGTCCCTAGAAACATGCTGCAACATGTTGTCCACAAACTTTATAAACTCTTTGTGTACGAAGCCTTAATGAAAATTTTATTACGAAAATTTCTTCCCAATTAGGCTATATTCACAATAGTTGAAGAGCTATCTTTCTCTTCTCATTTTAAGTAAAG